CATGTAGACTAAACGGCCATACACAGACATGCATGTAGACTGAACGGCCATACACAGACATACATGTAGACTAAACGGCCATACACAAAGTGAAAGGAGGAAGGTGATGGGGGCAGGGATGGAAGTCTAGGGAGCCCTGGAAGATCAGGGAGAGAGAGAGAGAGAGGTGCACACACTGATGTAGGGAGGTACCCTCATGGCCGTGCATCACAGCACATAATTTTGTGTGAGCCTCTCCCTGTGGGAGTCCCAGGCCACCCTGCAGCTTCCTGAACTGTAAAATGGAAATAATAACAACGGGATGTTTCAATGAATGGATAAATCCACGCGCGTGACACCTGGCTCTCTGCCTACATGACCAACTCCCTACGCCTGTCACTGTTATTGTCCCTATCATCTGGAATGATCTCTGAGGTGCTTCCTGGCTTGGAGTGACAGTTTGCCCAATAGTTATGAATACATATTTTTGAGAGACAAAGTGAGTAGTTACCTGTGAGCCATTGAGGTGGCTGAGAGTGTGGAGGCTCTCTGCTCCCATGGTAGAAGGAAACTGCTTCCCAGAGTTGTTCTATGACCTCCAGTGTATATGAGGTGGTATTTGTGTGTCTGTACTATTGCCTACACAAAGATAATAAATAAAATTTAAAAATCGCTTAGAATGGTTGTCGATCTTGGGTGTGTTTGCTTCCCGCAGCCTCAGTTTCCCACAGCTGTAAAATGGAGACTAGTCCGTCTCTTTTTCTACGGACTGGTAGAGGACGCTAAGGTGTGTCAAATATTTTGCACAGCTCTTGACGTCTGACAATCGGGTTTTGCTTGCCAGGTATTTTCCTGTTTCTGTTCAGAAAGGAAAGGGTCTGGCTGTGACCTTAAACCTCTGCTCTCCACCCCCATAGTAAACTGTGTGCTTGTGGGGCACAGTCTGTCTCTGGGCTGACTAAGCTCGGGATACCCCCCTCCCCTTGTCCGGCTCCCTAAACCGGTCAGGGCCCTTCCAAAGGGCTTATTATAGGGGAGGGCCCCATCTTCATTCCTATCTTCCTTTGAGGATTTCCTGGGTCTTGGCCTTAGGGAGGCTGCTATATACAGGTGGCCAAGACGCCCGGCCCTCCAGGGGCACAGGAATGGGGGCACGGGAGGCTGAGTGGGAGGTCTGGGCGCTGGGCTCTCGCTGGGTGGGGCCGGAGGGGCCAGGATAGCCGGGTGCCTGGGATGCGGGCGGGGCAGACTGCTGGCTCCCTCCTCCCTGGTGAGCTGTCGGACCTGTTGTACCCCCCCTCCACTTCCGGGCTGCTGGGGAGGGGGACGGGGCGGCCTCTCTCTCCTCCCTCCTTCCAGCCACCTGTTTCGCGCGGCGCAAGTCGCAGTGCCCAGCGCAGAGCCGGGGAGGAGACTAGCGACCTCCGGGGATCTCCTCCCGGGGAGGAACGGAGGCGTTGGGGCCCCAGGTGCATCCGGAGAGGGAGTCACTACGAGCCTGGATCTTGGGGTGAGGAGCCTTGGACGCTGATGTCCTGCAGGGGGATCGGGACTCGACTTCTGAACTTCGGGAACGAGGGCCGGCCAGTCCTGGGCGGAGGAGGGGTTGGGGTCTCTTGGAAGCAATCCGGGAAACTGAGGAGAGGGCTGGTGGGAGGGTTCAGGGATGACACTTGGGGCAAAGGGAATGCACAGTGTGCAACTCGCCAGCACGGGGCGAACTGGGATCCCGGACTCAAAATTCTCTTCCCAACTCTAGGTGTGTGTCACCGTCGGGAGCCCTCCAGCCGAGCCCCAGTCCCGAGCGGGTCCCCTGGAAGCTTCAGGCCACGCCCTCAGAGTGTTCAGCGTTTGTCTCTGAACCTTTAGGTTCCGCCCCTGGGCACGCTCACCGAGCTCTAGACCACACCCCAAAGTCTCAAAACCACGCCCCGGAGCCCTGACCACGCCTACCAAAAGGAATCCGAAGCGGCCATGGGGACACCCAGCGCTTCGGAGGAGGGCTCCTCGTCGCCTCAGGTTCCGGAATGCACCGCCGAGGTTCAACCTCAGGGGACCATGCAGCCTCAGGGGCACCCCGAGGAGTCCCAAGAGCACGAGGAGCCCGAGGTCCCAGCAGAGCTTCCGAGCTGCCAAGGAACTGAGCGGCAGGCGGAGGAAGAGGAAGAAGTGGGAGAAGGTAGCAGCACCGAGAGCTGCCGCGAAGAGGTGAGGAGTCGCAGGGGGGACCCGGACGGACAGACAGACACCCAAGCAGGGGGCCGGACACAGAAGGACAGATGGAAAGAGACCAGACAGAGACCCAGAGTAAGGAGAGATACCCAGAGACCGGCGGAAACACCCAGAGTCAGACAAGCCAGAGAGACCCAGATAGAAACAGAGAAACTTGGTAAGACAGAGACAGAGGGAGTGAGACAAATACACAAAAGAGAGACGCGGGGAAGACACAGATCCAGCAACAGGGGAACAAAAAGAAGAAATGCCGAGGTGGAAGAAAGAGACAAAGTCAGAGAGACAGGGGAAAGAGAGAGATCCAGGGACTGAGAAAGTGATGCCAAGAGGCTGAGACTCAGGAGCAGGTGAGTTCATTGGGTACAAAGGCCCTTGCTGCCAACACTGATGACCCAAGTTCGATCCTCTGACCTCCACTGGCGCTTGTGCAAAGAGAAAGAGAGAGAGAGAGACACAGAGTGAGACAGATAGAAATTCAGAGAGAGAGAGAGAGAGAGAGAGAGAGAGAGAGAGAGAGAGAGAGAGAGAGAGAGAGAGAGAGAGAGAGAGAGAGAGAGTTTGGCGTAGTAGCCTCCAGCCTTTGTACCCATCCTGAACTTGGAGCCCCCTCCCCCGCCCCCCTGTATGCTCTTCCATTCAGACCGAAATGGAAGCAGTTGAATTAGGCAGCTCGTGACCCCCAGGGGCGCAACTGGTTTGGGGACCAGACCTGTTTGGTGACTGTAGGGGGGGGGGGAACTTCTCTCCTTCCGATCACACCCTCTCTAATTTCAGCCCGAGGCTACGCCTGCCGTGCAGATTCCAGCCACTCCTTCCCCATGTCTCCCTCCTGGGGAAGGGATGCGAGGGGCGGCGCGGCGGCTGCGAGGACAGCAGCTGGAGGCACTGACCCGTGTGGCTCTGATGGAGCAGCGTGTGAAGGAGTTACAGCGCCAGAAGAAGGAACTGAGGATCGAGGTGAGCATGGGGAGCCCTTGGAAAATGAACCAGTGGGGGAACCTGCAAGGCCACTCTAAGCTGTTGGATCTCTGATAATCAGGTGTTCCAGGCCCGGGGCCTCTTCCACAGGGCCATTCCCAGGCCGGTCCTCCGCCCCGGCTGCTGCACGTGCACCAAAACTTGCTTTTTTTTTTTTTTTTTTTTTT